CAAGCGATACTTCGAGTGGTGGGGCCTCGGCTCGGCAACGTGGAGTACCTGTCGTGAAGTACCTATCGTAAATTACCTGTTTCGATATCTAACAGACGCAAAAATCAAGCGATACTTTCCGAGTGGTGGGGCTCGGCTCGGCAACGTGGAGTACCTGTCGTGAAGTACCTATCGTAAATTACCTGTTTCGATATCTAACAGACGCAAAAATCAAGCGATACTCCGAGTGTGGCGGGCTCGGCTCGGCAACGTGGAGTACCTGTCGTGAAGTACCTATCGTAAATTACCTGTTTCGATATCTAACAGACGCAAAAATCAAGCGAGCATTCCGAGTGGTGGGGCTATATCGGGGTTCCGTATTCAGTTACAGATGGCTCTACGATGGGAGACAGAACGAGCAAAACGAGTTCGTTACTGGCTTGTTATATCGGTTCGTGGAGTAATAAGTCATTTTTTTGTCCGTTTGTTCTCTTCTTCTTCTTCTGCAAAGGCCAGGGTCCGTGAGAAAGAGAATCTAAGTGTGGGGAACAGGCCGGCAACAGGCCGAGTTTCAGATCAATACCCGTCATTTCCTGCAATGCCTTTGATCTCTGTCTCTCTCTCTCTCTCTCTCTCTCTCTCTCTCTCTCTCTCTCCCTCTCCCCCTCTCTCTCTCTCTCTCTCTCTCTCTCCTCTCTGTCATCCTCTCTCCTCCCTCTTCCTCTCTTCTCCTCTCCTCTTTCGTCCTCACTCTTTCCTCTCTTCTTCGCTTCATAATCGATCCTAGCCGTTTCTTTCTCAATCTTTTTCTCTCTTCTCCTCTCCTCCTCTACATCTCAACTCTCCAATCCTTCTCTGCCTCAGCTTCCTCATCTCTCTCTCCTCTCTTCTTCTCTTTCTCTCTCATTCTCTCTTCTCTCTCCTCTTCTCTCACCTCTTTCTCACTCTCCTATATGTGGTATGCGTGAGTGCGGCTTATGTCGTGTGCGTCATTGCGTGCGTGCCCCAACGTACGCAGAACCTTCTCCTTCCGAGGACACCCCCGCCCGCGCCAATTCTCTCCTCCTCCACTCCTGTCAACTATTTCGCCCAAAAGAGTCAACCCATTGGCCGGATAGATCGTCTGGCGCCGCGCCACTGCCCTATAATTTCCACCGGATAGCACCTCCTTATCCTACTCCCACTTCGTCTCCTCCCCACCCTCCCTAACTCCCGTCCTCGTCCTTCGCCGCTCTCGCGGCCACCACGGAAACTGTGTTCTGCCCTTTTCATCCCTTTCCCCTGTCTCTACACCCTCCGCTGATGTCTCTCCTCTCGTCCTTTCTGCTCCGTGTCCACCTCCACTGGAGGTGATTATTGTCCTCTGGCTTTTTGATCCCTTCCTCCCCTTCCCCTCCCAAATCTTTTCGTTGTATTTTGTCCCTTTCATTCCCGTTTCTCTCTCCGCTCCCTCTATTATCCAATAAAACCTAATGCTAATCAAGAGACACACACGGCCTCCTCACCTTTCGTTCGTTCAGCTTAGTGTTTGCAAAATATATTATGAGACCCCCTCCCCGCTTTGAAAGAGACGCAAACTGTTCTCATTGGACCGATTAAGTTTGAGAAGGATGGTATTGTAGTGGTATCTGGGGCGGAGAGATAGAGAGTGAGCGTGGGGCTTGTCGTCGTCAAGTCTCTCGGCAGCGTGGTCTCGGTCGAGACTTATTATTCGGTGACACAATTGTGGTCGCTAGAGAGTTAGATCGCCTGGGTGTGTCTTCTTTGCTTCTAATGTCTCTCATCGCTCGTCTCCGTCTCTCTCTCTCTTTCTCTCTCATATCTCAACAATCCACCACACTAACAATACACATCAATCAATCTTACTCCAGTCCTGCGTCTCAATCTCTACCCTCTCTCACAGTGCGTTCGCCGCCTCTGCTCCCCTCTCCCTCTCTCCTCTCTCCCTCTCTCCCTCTTTTCGCCGTCGTTTAATCCGTGTTTTCGTCCTCTTCGTCTCTTCCTCCTTTCCCTGCTCCCCCTCTCTCCCCCCTCTCTCCCTCCCTCCCTCATCTCCCTCCCTCTCTGTGTGGTGTGGTGTGCTTGCTTGGTTATTGCTGCTCTCTCTGATCTCCTGTTCGTCTGCTCTCTTTCGTGTGATAGTCTGTCTCTCTGGCCCTCTCTTTGCTGTCTCTCGGCTCTGTCGTTCGACCCTCTTCTTCTCCCTCGCTCCTTTCATCCTCTTCTCCTTCTCTATCCCTTCCTTACTCCCTTTCACATTCTCTTCTCTCTCTCCTATCATATATATATATATATATATATATATATATATAATATATATATATATATACCGTAAGCATTTCATCCCCAATTCTTTATATCATTTCTTTATCATTCTCTCCCTATCTCAATCCCTCTTTATCTCTCTTCCCTCCTCACCCCTTTCCCCTTTCTCATCCCTCTGCTCTATCTCAATCTCTCTTTATCTCCCTTCCCATCCTCCTCTCCCCTTTCGCCCTCTCTCTTCCCTAACTCCCTCCCTCCCCCCTCCGTCACCCTCCCTCCCTCGGACACACACACATACACACACACACACACACACACACACACACACACAACACAAAAAAAAAAAAAAAAAAAAAAAAAAAATAAATAAATAAGTAAAAAAAAAAAAAAAAATATAAATAAAAAAAAACACGTCACTATCTTTTCCCGCCGCAAACGCGCCCTCCTGCACATCGCGGGCTTTTCGTTTCAAAACACGACAGGAGTTTTTTAAAAGAAAAAAAAAAAAAAGGAAAAAGAGAGACGTCACTCCTGTAGGAAACCCGACACAAACAGTGACCGCTCGGCCCCCTCCGCGGACCCCACCGCGACCCACCCCTCACCCTCACCCCCTGACAAGACGCCCGACGCTAACAACATATCAGTAACAAACAAACAAAAAAATCTATCATTGCGTCATTTCGAAAGAGAAGTTTCACCAGGACTCCCCCTTCCCTTCCCCCCCTCCCTCCACCTCTCCCCCTCACCTCTCCCGTACCCCCTCGGGGCTTCGGAGCTTCACTACGCGGAATTAAATATCACACGTAAAAAAAAAATTCTCTGCGTACCTTATGCAATACTTGAATCTCGTAGAAAAATGATGTCCATCGTCGGTCTACGCTGACTTACGAGTTAACGATAAGTAATGTGCCGTTAGAAATGTAACTTCTAAATGAATGTCTAACCTTGGTGCAATATTCACACCACATCTAAATACATACACGAATATGTGTATATATATAATATATACACATATATGTATATTTATATATACATACATACACATATATGTGCATATACATATGTATGTGATGTATATATATATACATGTATGTGCATCATATGTATATATATATATATAAATTTTAAATATATATATATATATCAATCATATATCATATCATATATATAATATATGTTTGTGTGTATCCATTATATTTCATATCATATATGTGTATATATACATATATGTGCGTATATACACACATATATATTACAACAGCGTTCCATTTAAATAAAATCAATACTCACACCTCGACCAAAAACAGAAGAGTCAGCCCTTAAAAAAAACAAGTCCGGTTTCCCACTTTCAGCAGAAAACGAAGGCGGCCGAGGCAGCACAGAAAACGGGAGTCTCGGCGTCCGCAAGAGGTCTCGCCGATAAAGACGTCCCGAAGCGACCCGCACCGACGGGTCCCCCGGAGTAGCGGGCCGTGTGCAACGTGACGTCAGCGTTACCATAGTGACGGGAATTATCGTCGTAGAATTATGCTCGTTTTGACAGATAATTCGGTTATTAAGTAATGACTCCATTCATTCAAGGACCACAGCTGCATGTTTCATGGCAATCATCACTTTAGGAAATATAAGCTGATTCATGGAATTACATACAAGGTTTCTGGTATTGTAATCCATTTCATAGGGCCGTGTGCAACCACGCGGACAACATAATTCTATGACTCATGCTCTTTATCCAAGAAAGGGGTGAGAGAGAGAGAGAGAGAGAGAGAGAGAGAGAGAGAGAGAGAGAGAGAGAGAGAGAGAGAGAGAGAGAGAGAGAGAGAGAGAGAGAGAGAGAGAGAGAGAGAGAGAGGGGGGGGGGAAGTAAGGATGTGCAGTAAAGAAAGAAAAGAAACTAGAGAACAGAGGGAAAGAAAGGGAAAAAAAAAAGAAAAATGGAGAGAGAAAAAGAGAAAAAGGAAAGAAAAGACACATACACAGAGAGAGAGAGAGAGAGAGAGAGAGAGAGAGAGAGAGAGAGAGAGAGAGAGAGAGAGAGAGAGAGAGAGAGAGAGAGAGAGAGAGAGAGAGAGAGAGAGAGAGAAAGAGAGAGGAAAGAGAGGAAAGGAGAGAGGGATCAAGCCTAGTTTTAGCTACAGATGCTATCGAGCGTCTAAAAGAAATAATATTGTGGCAAAGGTACAAAGCAATCCCACACAGCATACGACAATTTGTAAAAAAAAAAAAAAAAAAAAAAAAAAAAGCCTGCAAAGAAATGGGCGAGAGAGGCGAAAGTAAACGAAAAGGAAACTCCCACTCGAGCAGCAGCATAGGAGCGCCGAGGGGAAACCCGCGAATCCACAAAACCTCCACTGACCAAGCCCGATGGAGCAACTGCTTCGAGTAATCGGAGGAAAAAGCTGACCTTCTGGGAAGCTTGTTCGGTCGCAAAATGACAGTGCCAGATGCCGACAGAACACCCCCAGAGATACCCTCAGTACGTCATGACCAACTCCCTGGTCTTCAAATCCGTCACACCAGAACAAAAAGAGATCCTCCACAATTTAAACACAAAGACAGCACCGGGATCAGATGAACTCAGCCCGCACACGCTCCGCAGGTGTGCAGCGGAGTTATCCCAGCCAGTCGTCCATCTTCCAGTCACGCATCGAAGAAAGCTGCTGGCCCACCATCCGGAAGGAAGCAAGAGTGATTCCTCTGCATAAGAAACAGTCAAAAACAAATCCAGACAACTACCGGCCCATCTCCCTCCTGCC